TCTTTTGCACAACGTCAAGAAAATATTAAATACACGCACACTGCTAAAACATATTAAAAGGATCAATGTCAAATATCATTTTCGTTTAGATTCTCAGAAAAAGCGGATACATTTTAATAACATAATAACATTAGGGTAGAAAAATCTAATTAATTAAACTCTTTTTTTTTCTAATTTTGACAAGGGAGGTAATTTGAAAATAAATTCAACTCACGCTAATAAAAAACAATTGAATGCAAATCTACAGACGTCCTAGAAGGAATTAGTGTTGCAATAATATAATTAGCAAAATGTGAATGCAAATTATGCGGATGTGTAAGAGTAAATTATTGTTAGAAAATTATAATTAGAATGGATTGATAAAAGGCTAGCTTTTATTTATTTTATTCACTGAACCTACTGTTTACTACTTATAATTTTTAAAGAACTATTCCGCACTATTATAGACGCGTCATCACGTTCATTGGGTGCGCAATGGTTTTAGTTATGAAATTCTATTGTAAATTTAAAATTTAAAGTACTGAAAAAAATGCATGAATTGATAAAGTGCAATATTGTAGGTAAAGCACGGATATTTTAAATACTGCCTATTATTTATTGTATACACTGAACGTACTGTTTACTAATTATTATTCTATCTTTCGGTTCGCGGACAAGCTGGAGTTTTTATAGTCGTTCACTGAAGCAGACGCGTCCGCCGGTGCTCGGGCAGGGTGCGATTTGGCGTTACGGGATAGACTGTGAGCACTATGCGTTTATTTTTGCATTTAAGTCGTGTTTATGTTATGAGTGTTGTGTTTATATTTTCATTTGTTTTTTTATTTGCGTTTTTATTTTGTTTTAATGTGTTGCGTTTGTGTTTTCGTTTGTATTTGCATTGTATTTGTTTTTTTGTTTGTTTTCTTTTGGAAAATACTTTCAAACATAGCTCTGTATAAAACAAAAGAACAAAACACAATGTAGGCCGACAACGTAAAATAATGTATAACACAAAACAAAATACAACACAAAAATGCACAAAACACTACCAAAAACAAGAAACGCAACAGAATCTGGTCTGGCATTTCATATCTTTAAATTTTTGAATTACCTACTGCTTTTTGTGTTCTTCAAAGAATATTTTTAAACATAATAATAAGGTGTGTGTTAGATCGCTGTATCACTCACACACCTCTTTACTGGTAATTGCAAAAACAATATAAAAACAATATTCACAGTTTTATCTGTTTCAACAGCTACTATTTTGACTGTTTAATGAACAACTATAATAATCTTTACTTAATGTTTGTTTATTGATCTTTTGGAGGCAGTTTTACTCTTATCAATAGTGTTTTTATATTGTATTAACTAAATTTACCCAAAATATTTATATATACGTTCGCTACTTACATCTGTACGTGCTGGTCATCGTGAAGTTGTGTGTGGATGTGTTTACTTGTCTATACATTTCTATTCCCCCTGCGTACGCTACTGTTGGGATGGTCAGTTTAATGTTGTACATTGTATGGTAAGTGAAATTTTGTAAGTGAGATAGTAGTTTAAAGTTTGTAAGTGGGATGGTAGGCGCATAGCTGAATGTTTCTACACAAAATTCGCTTACCATCCAATACCACACGTCTTATGCCTAAAACTGAATTTCTAATTGCATGTGTTCTGGCCCAGAGTAAGATCATATTCTTTAGTTGTGACGCTATCTTTACCTGTCTCCCCAGTCCACGGCTCCTGTAAAGACGTCGTGACCCCCAGTCTAGACCTGTTGTGGCTGTTTTACCTGGGTGTCTAGTCATGTGTGACACTGACTCAGACGGTGGAGGGTGGACCATTTTCCAAAGACGTTTTTCTGCGTCTATTGATTTCAACAGAAATTGGACGGAATACAAGAACGGTTTCGGCAATTTGAGTTCCGGTGATTATTACTTGGGTAATGAGAACATTTACTTGATTACGTCACAGCGGCCACACGCGCTGAGAGTTGACTACCTGTATATAAACGATATATACAACAGGTACTCAAGCTTTCACATCTCAAGCGAGGCTGACGGCTACAGGCTAAACGTGAGTGGCTACCTTGGCGTCTATACCGACGGCCTACAGCTACAGAACAACATGAAGTTCAGCACTTTCGACAGGGACAACGACAACAGCATCACAAACTGCGCCCAGGCTCAGATGGGGGGCTGGTGGTTCGACGGATGCTCCGGTACAAACCTCAACGGCCAGTGGGGAGCGGCTGGGGACAAGGGCATAACCTGGAGGGATGACATCGTCAACCACTACAGCATCATCAACACAGAAATGAAATTTAGACCTACATGATTCGGTTCTCCGCGATTCGAACCATTGGTATCAAACTAAATGTCACACATCATAAAACTAAATGTTACATATCATAAAACTAAATGTCACACATCATAAAACTAAATGTTACATATCATAAAACTAAATATTACACATCATAAAACTAAATGTTACACATCATAAAACTAAATGTTACACATCATAAAACTAAATGTTACATATCATAAAACTAAATGTTACACATCATAAAACTAAATGTTACACATCATAAAACCAAATGTTACATATCATAAAACTAAATGTTACACATCATAAAACTAAATGTCACACATCATAAAACTAAATGTTACACATCATAAAACTAAATGTTACACATCATAAAACTAAATGTCACACATCATAAAACTAAATGTCACACATCATAAAACTAAATGTTACACATCATAAAACTAAATGTCACACATCATAAAACTAAATGTCACACATCATAAAACTAAATGTTACACATCATAAAACTAAATGTTACACATCATAAAACTAAATGTTACATATCATAAAACTAAATGTTACACATCATAAAACTAAATGTTACATATCATAAAACTAAATGTTACACATCATAAAACTAAATGTTACATATCATAAAACTAAATGTTACATATCATAAAACTAAATGTTACATATCATAAAAATAAATGTTACACATCATAAAACTAAATGTTTTACATCAAAAGCTGCTCACCAAATTGTTTTGCTTATAAAAGTTTCCCTACACAATTTTACCCTGCTTATCATTCAAATATTGTTTCTTCTTATTAATTATTCCGAAAGTAATCGTCCCCATAGGTAAGAGGTTCCCTTTTCTAAGCAGTCTTTTGTCGATGAGAAGTTTGCATTCAACCAGAGGTCATTACCTTGAGTGATAATTTTGGTTGTGGATTTCTAGTGTTTTTATTTTTTTGAAATCGTGTTAACACTAATCTTCAGTGTGCTTTCTTCAAATTGTATTTTGTTTTATTGGCTGTTTATTTGCCGCTTTAAAAAAAGGTGAAATTTGTTCTAACACTCTATGTAGTGTCTGAGTTAAACTTGAAATTTTGACATGGGTACTGAAGACTAGAGCAACTCCTAGCCGAAACGGCTAGACTATATATGCGTTGTGTTGAGTACTATTGCAGATAGATAAATGAAATTTCACAAGTAAGTAAAAGATCTAACTTCCCCGTTCTGTCGAATTTTGGGTAGTTTCCATTGACCGGAAGTACTAATTTACGCTATTTCCGATTTCTCAAAAAACGCATGTGTATTTATAAAGTACTAATACTATTCCGCACTATTATACACATTTTGTTTGGCGTTCACTTAGAGCGCAATTCTTCTTTCTACGAGATTCTATTTTTACAAGATTTTTTTTTTAACTTGCTTATTCTGTCGACAATCTGTCTGTCTAGATCGACAGGGGTCATCCATAAATGACGTCACGCTTTTTTGGACAAATTTTACCTCCCCCCCTCCCCTCCGTCCCACATCGTCACAAAAGCCAGCCCCCCCCCCCTAAAATGACGTCAAACCTCAGCCTACAACCCCCCCCCCCCTTAAAATTGCAATTGAATTTTTTTTTAACATCGATATTTTTCCAATATGTTGTCTGAACTCTATCAAAATAGGGGATTTTAATAAATTCCTGTTGCAATTTAGTAAAACGTCTAAAATTCGTTTTCTAACATTGCTTTTTTATGATGCAAAAGTGTGACGTCGCACCATTAGACCCCCCCCCCTCCCCCTCATCACACACCATCACAAAATTCCGGATCCCCCCTCCCCCCTACGAGTGTGACGTCATTTATGGACGACCCTAAACGTCTGTACGAAATTTCGGACACTTCTCACTGACAGATTTGTTTTAAAGTTGGCACGTGGGTAAAGACATGAAGACAATGCAACATGACATTAAATTTGACTTAATTGGTTGCCTGATTAGTTTTTATAAATTAATTAAAATTGTATCCAAATTAGTAGGGTGTCTTATCAAACTATTCCGCATTATTAGACACGCATCATCACGTTCATTAGGTTCGCAATGGTTTTCAGTCATGCAATTCTATTGTAAATTTTAAAAATTAAAGAACTGAAATGTTTTTTCATAAAAATGAATTGCACACCAAATGAACAGCAAACAATGTAATTATAACAGAGAGGAACATTAGAACTTAATAAAGAAAACCTTGATTAATGTTCATAGAGATAGAGTTAATTAATTATTTAATTTAGTAATATTTTTTGTCACAATACATTGTCTTCGAGTCTTGACCTACGTGAAAAGTTTGCTATAAATAGGTCCTGTAGAAGAGCTCGAAATTTCGCTCACAAGTTTCCGACTATGATGGACGAAGACAGAGGAAACTAGTTAAAAATAAATTCTTGTGAGTTGTCTCAGAAATCGGAATTAGCGTAAAGTACGATTTCCACTGATCGGAAATTAATTTAAAAGTTTGACAGAAAGCAGAGAACAAGAGCTTTTACTTATTTGTAAAATTTCGTCTTTCTAACCGAAACTGTTCTCATGTGTATTCATATTTCTAGAAAAAATATTGTACTCGGTTCTACAAAAGATATGCTTTAGTGGTTTTTAGGAGTAGCGTAAAAAAAAAAAAAAGAATGAGAATTTAAAGAAATGCAAATAAAATGTGGTTAAAATCTAGTCAAGAAAACAATTGTGTGTACGTTCTGGCAAATTTTGAGCTCATTGTGACGTAGATGAGAAAGTTGACGGAAGCCACGAATTGGTACAAGTTTCCGATGATAGTCTCCAGCAGGAAATACAAGTTGTCAGAGGACAGCACTGTGATGTTGGCGTAGAGCAGACACATGTAGATGACAGCTGTTGGTAGGTAGGCCGACAGCGTCACCAGGCACACGGTCAGCAACATCTTGGCCACCTTACGTTCTTGCGCGCGCTTGTTGCTAGACGTCTGCTCTGAGTTGACTTTGAGTAGTTTAGTTCTTCTGCTGGTGAGTTGAACGGTGATGACGACAGAGCAGAAGAGAATGATCAACAAGGTCAGGGTCGTGAAAGCGTTGTTGAGGTAAAAGTTGCTGTAGATGTTCAGCGGTCCGTAATTCTCCTGATAAAATTGACTGATCGCGACAAGACCGACCGTGACGTTGAATGTGACGTCATAGGTTTCTGCGTAGGTCAGACGGAATACAATGGGCAGGTACATCCCAAGGGTGTAGCCGTACAGGCACACGACCAGCCAGCAGACGCGGGACGGTGTAAAGACACGAGACACCCTCAGGGGGAAGCAGACGGCTACAAACCTTTCGATGGAGATAGCAGTTACATGACAAATGCTGATGGCTTCGAAAAAATCGGTGATCGGGTAAATGTAGACAAACGTGAATGCCCGGATTGTAATCGAACTCGGGACGTCGAACTGAGAAACTAAACACTTGAGCCTACGGAAGGGTTGGACAAAAGACGAACAGAGGTCACTGACCGATAACGACATGAGCAGAATGTTAGTGGACTCCTGCATGCCATGACGCGACAGGACAACAATGTTCAAGACGTTGGCCACAACCCCCAGCAGGCTCAGGACGTGGATGAGGAAACAGTTAAAGAAAATGTCGAGCACGTTGAAAACTATCGCGTCGATGTCGTCCACCGTCTGCAAGTCGTCTGCTGTTTGTGAACCAGGGGAGCTAATCACGATGTTGTTTACATGAACGGAAGTGACGTGTGAATCGCTGACGTCAGAAGTTTTAAAACTACTGCTGGAGTTGTCGAACATGTAAATAACATCCATGGCAAGTTTTCTAAAAATGTTTTATAGAATTATCTGGCAATGTTTGGACAGAAATTCTGATCATGTGACTCGTGATAACCAATCAGCCGATCATCAGCCGGTCAACATAGACTTCCAATATAAATTTGTCAACATAGACTTCTAATATAAATTTGTCAACATAGACTTCTAATATAAATTTGTCAACATAGATCTCTACTATAAATTTGTGAACATAGATCCCTACTATAAATTTGTGAACATAGATCCCTACTATAAATTTGTGAACATAGATCTATGTTGTATATTTGTCAACATCCTTTGAAAAAGTTTAACTGCAGTGGGCTTACTCTTGTTCGTGATTTAAAGTTCAAATATTGCGAGTTCTTAAATTAAATGACTCATTAAACATTTCCCTGGTATTTACTGTAATTATAATGTGACATCATCTACCGACGCTAATTAATGTCGACTGAACAGCGCCGATTGCTGTAAATTATATATCAACTACAAGATAAGTCGTATATTTTGTAAAGCTGGTATTCTATAATTAACTGATAATCAATTTTGTATGAAGCAAATAATTAAAGTACAAACTTTTTATAATGACAGACGGGCGTAGATTTTTTAGTTGCTGTGTATCCTTGTAGCAAAAACGAATCAATATGATGATGATTTTTTTTGTTTGCTGTGTATCCTTGTAGCAAAAATGAATCAATATGATGATGATATGTGTGAGACAACAGCAACCATACAGAATTATCATTCGATCGATACTTGTTTATGTTTAGACAACCCATTGTGTTTGCTGGCGTTCTATGAGTGATGTGTACCTGGTCACAGTTTGTCTGTTTGGTCTAGATTTGAGAGTTTATCTGGCAACAGTTTGTCTGTTTGGTCTAGATTTGAGAGTTTATCTGGCAACAGTTTGTCTGTTTGGTCTAGATTTGAGAGTTTATCTGGCAACAGTTTGTCTGTTTGGTCTAGATTTGAGAGTTTATCTGGCTACAGTTTGTCTGTTTGGTCTAGATTTGAGAGTTTATCTGGCTACAGTTTGTTTGTTTGGTCTAGATTTCTTGAGAAGTGGAACTTATGCTACTTTTGGTTTTTCAAAAGGCTATAACTTAAGTACTGTTTCACATAGATAAACGAAATGTCCCATATAAGTAAAAGATCTAATTTTCCTCCGTCTGTCAAATTCTGAGTAATTTTCGTTGACCGGAAGTAATGATTTACGCTATTTCCGATTTCTCAAAAACGCGTATGAATTTATATTCCGCACTATTTTACACATAATGTTTACCGTTCAATTGGTGCGCAATTCTTTTTTCTACGAGATTCTATTATATTTTTAAAAAGTGTAAGTTATGTAAAAACTGATTTAAAATTAAATCTATATCCCAAGTTGCCATCCCCGTAGTGTTATATAAGATTATTCGAAAAAGTTTAGGGGAGATTATGTAAGATAAAAGGGGAGAAAACTGCTTAAATATTCAACCGTCCCATAAAAAACTCGGTTATGTGCCCTTAGCATGTATACACCAACCTATCGAATCACTCTCTGCCCACTAAAAGGGACAAAACCCGGGGGAAATTCACGGCAGCTCCATCCTACTTTAAATAGATTTCTAGTTGTAAGGTTGCTAACGTTTCACCTCTTGCTCATGTCATGCTTGTTAGGTTTAGTCCTATTTCATTAGTAATACTTGACTATTTGCAACTTTTTTAAACTCGTTTCTTTTCCTTGTATGCACATATTTACCTCATATCAACATTTTGATGTCTATTTATCTCTCACGTATTAATAACTCACAATATTATGCCTCTTGTAATTTATTTGACATTGTTTAATACGTTTTTTTTTGTTCGCCTTGTCTGTAAGTATATAGATCGCTGTACATGTTATTATTTTAAAATGGAAAATAAATGTAAAAAAAAAAGTTAAATTATTTTTCAACTAAATTATTGTTCTTACCTTTCAGGTCATTTCATTTTTTAATGATAAGGTATGGGTTAGATAACTGTATTGATGACACAGCTCTTTACTGGTAATTGTTAAAACAATAATCAGTTTTACCTGTTTCAAAAGCTCTAGTTCTGTTGTACACAAACAACTCTAGTTTTTCCTGTTTCTGATGTTCGTTTACTCATCTGTTGGAAACTGTTTTACTCTTATCCACAGTGTTTTTCTATAAATTTACCCGAGGTATTTAAGTGTATGTTTGTTAAGTACATCTTTATGTGCTAATCATCTTGACTCATATAAATGCTCTTTATTTTTCAATACGTTTATTAAGCTTCTCCCCCCCCCCCCACTCCCCCATATAATTTGCATCGAGTTTTTAACGCAGTTCACCCAAAAATGTGCGCATCTGTATGAGATGCCTTTGCAAATTTTTAGATCAGCTTACATACAAGGGCAGTACTGAAATATTAAATCAAATCTTATTCCACGGGGCACATTTTACATAAACAATTACCCTACTTTTCTAGACTGATCTTAAAACCCAAATTAATAGCAGCCGATCAAACACTCTTTTCTATGAAAGACTCAATGAAATTATCAATGACAGAGTCAATGATAACTACCGCTCTCCTGTATTTTTCTCTCGAGAAACTCAATGATAAAGCGTTAGTAGTTATAAAGAGAGAGAGTTTATCAAAACGGAAATAATTCAACTAGTTTAATTAATAAAGCGTTAAACGTAATTATTAATTCTTAATTTCTCAGCGATTGATACAATTGTTTAGGGACAGTTAAACTATTTTTAAAAAAATATAGATCCTCGATCTTCATTTATAATTTATTAATTAAAATAAGATTTTTAAAAAATAATTAAAACAGGTCTGTGTACTATATTATTAAAAAAAAGCAACTAATGAATATAATAAATAATTTTGACTATTTCTCTTTCTAAACCTATCGAATATATTTTTTTTTTAAATGCAAGGTAATCTTTTATAGAACCTACATGATTAACTTTTCTTCTAATAATAAAAAAAAAACTCTAAATAAAAACTATTATTCCTACAAATATTAGAGTAGTCTCCCTTGACAGTTTCTATTCGAATGTATTTTGTGTTAATTTTCGTTATGAAATACAGTTGTTTTTTTAAATTAATTATATAAGAAAACAATCTATCTCTGTGTATATTTATTTTAAAAAATATTACAATAATTAGAATAGGTGTTTCTGGTTAAATAGCAATTATTCTCATTCTAAATCTTTGGCTATCGAGTTTCATGGGTTTTTAAATTTAAGATTATGAACACATTGGCTTGACGAAAATGATTATATATACTTAAATACATACTAAAATTTACTTTTGTTAATAAACCTACACTATTTTATGCACACATACAAAAAAGAATATTTTAGCGGCAGTTACAACGTCAAAAAAAAAAGGAAACTCCTCTATACTGAATAGTTCTACGTAACAACAAAAATGTAAAAATACATAGTCCTAGAGAACACTAACACATACATATATACATACGAAGATATGTGTGGGTGTAAGTAGGATGTGAGGTGGGTAGACAGGCGGGGTGGAAGGAAAGCAGTTTGGCAGGAATAACGGTAGGTAGGAAAGTAGGTAGGCAGGCAGCAGCGCAGGCAGGTTAGTAGATAGGTAGGTACGTAGGCAGGGAGTTAGGTATGTAGGTAGGTGGGCCTAGGTAGGAAGGCGCCTCACTCGGTATAGTGAGCGATTATGGTAGCCCATCATATTCATAGCGTTTCGCAATTATTAAAACGAACAAATGTACCATAGTACTCACGGGAAAACCCGGGGAGCTAAATAGAACCCTGCCGGGGCGCCACCAAATCGAATTTTTTTTCGCAGAAACCACCACATGGGTATTAGCATTAGCTTCTCAAATTTGAATGACAAACGAATGAAATCTTTGGTAATGCTTAAACAAACAAACCCACATATTCTTTTTTTTGGGGCGCGGGTTTGTCCACACTGCCGCCTAGACGCACCAAGGCTCATTGTATGAAAGCCTTGAGTGTACGTTAATCAACCTCTGTAATAGTGAGGTAGAACACACATTGCGACCGCCCATGTGTTAGAGACGCGTCCCTTGGTGCTCCAGGGAGCCACTGGTTATACTTCCGCAGGGGCGCCCCTAATTCGGTTTAATTATAAAATGTCGTGTGCCGCCGTGTCCCTATTGTAGGGTGCTCTTTAAAGAGTCACTCTCGGTAGAGCCCGGGGCGCTCGCTGTCGCCAACTGCCAGGGCGCCGGCGGGCGCTCATTATTCTACTTAGTGAACATTTATAGTAACCCATCTAAACCGTAGTGTCGCCCGAGGTGGGTCTTGGCCGGGGAGCTGGCGGTTGAACCTGGTGTAGTTTTATCATTGAATCTCAGAGGCGTAGCACCATTCCTGGCGCCTGGGGACAAATTTTCAATTTGGCGCCCCCCCCCCTCCCGCCGGCGACAAACTTTCAATTTGGCGTCCCCCCCCCCCCCCCCCGTATTTTTTTATATTTATAATGCAAAACTGTATCTAAAATGAGCTTTAATGAGCGCCAAAAGGGGTAGACAATTTTTAAAAAATCCTCATTCTTCATTAAAATTTAAGAAAACAGATTTATACATGACTGATATCCTCAATTATTTTATATAGAGGAGTGTATGTAGGGATGGGCGCCTTTTTGCCAGCGTTTGAATAGGGTTGGCACAACATTGATAGTTCGCCCCGGGCGCCGGAATAGGTTGCTACGCCTCTGCTTCCTGCTAGGACGCCGCCCTGGCGAAATCTTTCCGGGGGGGGGGCGTGTTGGGGGGGGGGGGCGTGCGGACACTGTTAAAAGTATTTTTTTTTCTATATGAATTCCGTTTCGTTCTGCTTTCCCCCCCCCCCCCCCCCCCCCCCCCCCGAATAGATTCCTGGAAAAAACTCTGTTCACAAAGTTTTATGGCGATCCGATGAAAAAGATGTAGTAATTCATATAGGACAAACAGATAAACATACTTTCATTTCTATAAATATAAATAGATATATACTTTAACT